CACGAGCAACACTGGTAACACGGGCAACACTGGTAACACGGGTAACGCTGGTAACACGAGTAACACTGGTACCACGGGTAACACGGGTAATGTATGGCCAAAGCCTAAGGGTAAATCACAGTTTACAATTTTTAGCTATGCTCGCTTGAGCTTCTAGAGCTGGCAGATAATCGTATCGGAAAAATCGAGAATTTGGAAGAATTGACAGGTTTGAAGAAGCTATTTCTGGGAGCAAATCAGATTACTGTAATAGAAGGTAGAAGTCATCAAAATTTTTCAGTATTAGTAGTAAAAATAGTTAGAAATTCAGGGCTTTCCACACTGAAAGAGTTGACGGTGCTGAGTTTCATAGGTAACGCTATAAGAGATATTGAGGGATTGAGTACGTTAACAAAACTCATGGATTTGTCTATAGCACAAAACGGAATAACAAGAATAGCTGGGTTAGTATATCTAAAACTTTCTCTGAAAAATCCCGAAAACCTTGCCATCGGGTTTGGTAATTGCTAAACGTAACTTTATGATGCGGAAGTAAAATCAATAGTCAAAACATTGTTCTCACATTTGCTCTCAGATTTGTTTAGATTGACGAATAACTTGGCGCTCAGCTGTCTCGACTTGAACGACAATCGAATCGAGAAAATTGAAAACTTACAGCACCTTGTGAACCTCAGAAGCTTGTGGATTCGCAAGAACAAAGTTCCTTCCAGATTTTGGATTTTTGTGATTCAATCCCAAATTTCTAGATAGCCAACTGGTCTGAGGTAGCCTACTTGAATCGCTTACCTTTGCTGAGAGACGTTGCATTTGAAATGAATCCTATATACAGGTACCTCCAACTTTTAGAAAAATTTCAGTATGTATTAATGTTTCAGTACTCAGCACTTTTACCGCAATAGAATACGCGAGATTCTTCCAAAAATCAAAATCATTGATGGATTTCCAGCCAGATGGATTACCGGAGATCCTTGGCAGGAGCTCTCCGAAGGATCTGAAGGATCCTGCGCATAAACGACCTTTTGTAGAAAATTCACAAACAATACTCATATACGTTATATGCTCTTGGGAAGTAGCTTTGATAAGCCAGTAAAACACATTTCTAAGTGTGTTTGAGTTCTTCGCCCCAAAAACCGTGCTAAATCTCCTAACAAGAAAGCCCACTTCGCCATAATTACATCAATTTTGAGGCTATGAAAACAAGTATTATCGGAACTTCAAAGGTTGATCAATGTGTACCGGAAACAGCTAGCAGAAAACACAAGTTTGTTTGAGAAATTGTGCAAGTTAGGCATTAGAAGTGAAAACACAACAAACAATTTTGATTTTTTGGGTAGAGTTTCCCGCAAGCTTTTCAGTATAAAATGCAGTGCTTGAAGGTTGGAAAGGAGCTAAAGGGATTTCAGTCTTGGAGAAGGGGTCAGGAATTTTTATTTCAAAGGGCATAAAGCTGGACCATCTCCCAAAATTTGATACGCAATAAGTCGATTTCTGTTCATGAACTGGAAATCGTCAAGTGATTTTTGCAAAAAAAAATTCTGAAAGGTAACCATCAGCACGATCCGAATGAAGAACAACTGAAATGTCTTATACAGTTTTTCCCAGTACTTCTTCAATTCCGCGTCGATGTGTGACCATGCTAGCGACGGTAGTTTTGGTATTCTTGCTTTCAATAGTTTGAGAAATGCTTTTTACATATAAAGCTAGCATCCTCTTGAACTACATGGTTCAGAGCAATAAGAAGATTGTATTTCCATAGTTGCTTGGTACCGAAAGCAACAAAAGTAAACTTTTACTATACCGGCATAAAGCTGATTTTGCGACAATTAAGGAGTAAATGTTTCTAAGTAAGAACTAATTGCAATGCACCGAAACAAGATTACTGCATATTTTTGACAATGCCTGACATTTATTTATAAGTTGTAGTGATAAATGCTGAAAGATCCTGTGACTTCTTGACAATGTTTCATCAAAGTTTC